TCGGGGGATCACTACACGCTACGATCGATAAATCGTACAACGCTGGAAATACGAATGGGCTCTCAACGATGTACAGGTGGAGGAGGAAAATATTCATACACCGATGTTCGCGGCCAACGATTTGTTAATACTGATTTCAGTGTGACGCCATATTAAAAATTATTTACACCAAATCCTTCTCGTTTCCCCACGGATCCCATCTTTCCGTTCTGACATAACGAATTTTTACCATAGTGTTAGGCTGAAAATAATATTGCCAAACTCGAGCCAGCGAACAACAATGTATGAATGATTCTCTCAGCTGTATATTATTCTAGCGAGAAGATTTTTCGTACAGAATCTCAACGGCAGTCGTTTCGTGTTCGTTCTTGAAACTAGCGGGTTCTTTTCCACGTCGCGTATCATCGAGGCAGCAGCTAGATTAAAATCATTCGAAACCATCTGTCACCGGGGTCAATGTTTGTCACGCGTATGTACACTTGAAGCACAGACAAGGTACGACAATTACAATTCTCGTGAGTTTGTTAGGTGTCCCTAAAGACTGCAAAATTTTCAAACATCACACGATCGATAGAAACAATATCTACTCATTTACAGACGAACCTCGTTACGAATCTTTTACAATTTCACCCTAAACGTCTGTTCAGTTATAGGGTGAGCAAATGATAATCATTTTACAAAAATACACTTGATGCCTACCCTGTACCTCGTCTGTGCCTAAAGACACTTGTTCGAATTGAATTAGTTTCTCGAGTACGTTCAATGCACGGTATAACTACCAAAGGGTAGACCGGAAGGGTAATCGGTAATTAATAAGTGCGCCACTGCGTCGAGGATACTGTTTCGTTACTATTCACATTGAAATCGGTGCGCAGTAATTTCAACGCCGATAGAACGGTTAAGGGGCGCGTTATCGGGCACAGTTATTCGCATGAGCGCGACGGTAATTAATAATTTTTAGCCACGCGTAATGGCGGTAATTCTGTGAAGCACCTCGGCGTGCGTGCGCGCGCGCGCGCGCGCTCGATCGATAACTGTTACCGACGAACGGCCGTGTACCGACAACGATAACCGGGAATCCCCAAAATTCTCGCCCGGGAAACGGGTACCGCGCACGTATCCCGTCCGTTTCCCTCCAGACAGCGTTCGAAATTCCTTTTTCCCTTCGAATCGGTGATCACCAGCTGGTCTCAAACTCTGAAATTACGTAGAACGTTGCTCTCTCTCGCTGTCGTTTTTTTCTTTTTCTTGTTCGTTCGTTCGTTACGCTCGCGCTAGACAAGTAGTTTCTTTTTTTTTTATTTCCCTTAGATTCGTTTTGTTTATTCAAAAAAGTAGAGTTTCACGTCGAAGAGACAAGAGATTGTGTTTTCGTTGCCTGTCGCCGAAACAGAAACGTCCGGACACCACCTCGAGTGATCGATCGACGACTCTCCCAGCTTACTGCTTTCCCGACTTTTTGTTCGATCGTTCACCTGAAACAGATTACGTCCGCCCTGTGATTAAGTTCAAACTCATCAGAAAGCCGAACATAGCTGCGCTCCATATAACAGACGAAATTTTTAACGCTGGACTTACGGGGCGAGCCGGTCTCGCTCGTGTTGGATTTTGGGAAATGTTTCGTAAATGTTTCGGTCGATTCTGATTGATTCGATTATTATGGTTCTTTCATTTAACAAAATTCCAAAGTGTTATATATGATATTAACTCTTAGCACTTCAGGTTGTTTTGTAAGCTATCAGCAACTGCAACTAATTTTTATAGTATTTTACGATCTTTTATTTTCCTTCTTAGCACAAAATTCGGATGTGTGGAGAATCAAATAATTTTAGGGTAGTTTCTTTAAGATTCATTAAAGTATTTATTATAACTAGTGCAATATTGGAGCCTACAAAGTGCAAATTAAGTTTCGTATAATGCAGCTGCGTGTGAAGTATTTCTATAAAATGTCTTTGTTTCTTAATTGACGTACGTTTCCTCATTAGTTCGTTTCAAATGGCGTCTACGTTTCATCGGCTGTCGAATGTTTCTAGTGAGGCTTCCGAGTGCAAAGGGTTAATAATGTATGTTTGAACATTTCATTTCGTAGATCTAAACGTAACAATAGAATGAACTGTACGATAAACGTCCGTAAGTCTAGCGTTAATTTCACAGCTTTCCCTGAAGTAACAAGTACCGTCGTGTATCTGTTACGAATGGCAGAAAAATGAAGAGATTATGATCCTCGTTTGCAAGAGCCTCCGCGAGACTACGACGCGATAGAGGGTTCCGAATGAATTAGAATCTATTCGTGTCGAACGCAAATTTCCACGGGATTACGACGCGATCATTAAGAGGGGTAGAGAAACACGTCCACCTTGGACTCCAGTTTCTACTGTCTATTCAGACGTTTACGCGACGCATTTACCGCTTCTTTTGTCCGTGACCCCAAGGAGACGCTTCAATAACCTATCTTTAAATCTGTCAATGCCATCGTCAAGCGTACTCGACGAGGCCTCGGTGCTGCGATACTAATGTCAATCTCGAGTAGAACTACACGGAGCGAACTAAACAAATAAAGATCGCTTCGTAATTAACGGTCCTTGCTTTTCGCTGCTAATTATTTTGCTCGTTAATAACACGGTATCGACGTTACCGTCGCGTATTCAAGCGAAGAGGTTTCGGATTGAAATTCGAGCCGCCATTTTGTCGGTCAAGAAAATGGCGGCTAAGAGCTAACCTTCAGCGAACTCGCGATTCTAATGTGTTTCTTCGCGCAGATTTATCGTTTAACGGTTGTACGCGATAAAATGTAATTGTTAGACGAATTATACAGCGGATAAAGGAAACAAGAAGCGGAATTTACCTTTAGTACTCTTCTTGGTGTTGGTCTCCGGTTTACAGCCCTTGGTCAGCCGGCGCATCTTGTCGCAGGACGCATCGCTGTTCGCCTTCAAATTGTCCACTCTCGTCATCAGCTGATTCACGCATCCGCTCCACGTGCCCTTTTCGTACCGGCAAGCTGTACCCGCCCCCCGCCACGTAAGGAGGATAATCATACCGCCATAAACTCCATTTAAGTTCACCCACGGCGGAACGTTAACGCGGCAACGGTGCATCTCGTGTTACGAAACAACGGCAATTCCGATGAATCTTTTCAATGATCAATTTCAAACTCGTAATTCCATTGAAATTACGGGTAGAAATTACCGTATATAACCCAACGGGATTCCCCTACGGACGGTATCAACCGTCTCTACGAAATTTTCCCTGTTATCAATGTATCATCTTCGAATGAAGCTTCCATTCGAAGTAGAACGGACAATCTCGTTGCATCTCTTCCAAATTGTCGATAGAAAAATATTACGCAAAATAGCAAAATTAAATAACACGCCAAGGGGTTAACCCTTTGCACTCGGATGTTTCTTGCTAGAAATATTTAACATTTCTTTACGAAGACGATGTTCTTTGAGACTAATTCGAAGAGAAATCACCGGTACATCGAGGAACAAAGCTGTTTTATTCCAATGTTTCACGTATCGAGGCATTATATTGAATAAATAAATGAAATTTTGGACGTATCTTTTAACCCTTTGCACTTCAGAAGCTTTTCACCGAAAATATTCAATATTTTCTAACGAGATGCAGACGACATTTTCTCAGATTCAGTTAAGAAATCTCACGTGCATCGAGGAAGACAACTATTTTCTTTCAATATTTCGTACATCGATGCATCACACAAAGTTTAACGTCAAAAATCACATTCTATAGTTCTACTGTGTCGAATCAAGTGGTGACTGAGAGTCACCTCTCGAGTGCAAAGAGTTAAGCTTCCGAATTCAGCGGCCATAGAAATCGTCCACCCCGAGCAAAGGGAAAAACACACGTTCTCCACGGAATTCACGAAGATTTTCTAGCATGTTGACCCGCGAGGATCCAAACGAGGCGTTCAACTCGATCGGTAAGGGCACGCCGGCCAACCGGCGTCCATTAAATTAAAAAGTTCCCCCGACCGTTGCGTTCGCGCGCGGTCCCGGCCGCCGCGTCTGCATTTGATGGCGGCGCTCCAACGAGTTTTTAACCGCGACCATTGTTTTCTTTTTTCCCCCGTTCTGTTCGCGGCGTGCACCGCGCCCTCCCCGCCGCCGAGTAATTTAACGGGGGAGCAATTCTATCGTTGCGCTCGCCTCTTCCTCGAGAGAGAGAGAGAGAGAGAGAGTCACCGAGGATCCTGTCGCGGCCGGTGAATTTATCAGGCTGATTAACCGAAACCCGGAGCACCGAAATCACCGATAACTAGGACACGACGTGTCGTTCTTTCGACTCGTTTAATTAATTAAGACGTTCCCGACGGGGGCGCCTCGCTAATTAGCCGAGTCCATTAAACCCGGTCCCATTTAATGAACGCGGACGTCCGATCGTGCCACCCTGAGCCGCCAACCCCGCGGCATCAATCTAAACTGTATTAATTAGCCGAAAACACGCCGGCTGGAAACGTTCGGTGATGTTTCGAAACGAAGCCTCTCGGTGATTCCTATTGGCACTCTGTTCATCGATTCCCGGTAGAACCGCGATTACCGAGCATTAATGAGCTCGGAAATGTTACGAAGATTTCTCGCCGTACCGAAAATATTCCTTCGTCATCGATTTCAGGTAAAGAGGATGTGAATTTCGTCGTTTCACGAGACAGTTTAGAGTAAGTTACAGTTCGAAGCTACCGTTGGTTAGCTCTGAACGAGCTTTGTTAATTATGGATGCTCGTCAACGAGAAACAAGCTAGTATCGTTCACAGCGATGGAATTCGAAGGTTTTGGAACTGATTAGAAATCGTAGTTGTTTCGACGGAACGACGTTTGCGAGCATCGAGTTTCTACCGTTGACTATCAATATTCTCGCGTGGGTGAACGAGAGGAAAATAGGAGAATACAGTGTGCGCGATTAATAGAGACGAATCAAAGTCATACCTTTCTTGCATTTCTTCTGGATCGTCTTGGTCTGCTCGCAGGACTTGTCGCCCTTCTTAAGGTTCAGCGTACGGGACCGTGTGTTGGTTTTCGAGTCGCATTCCGACCATTGACCCTTCACGTATCTGCACGATACAGAGCTGCCGGATGCTACGTCAACAGATGCAAAACGTCAATGGAGATAATTGGAGGCACGGCACAAGCGGCCGGAGGAATTCCCGAACAGCCTACAAGTTCCTTAATTACGATCGGTTCACGTTTTGCTTAATCGTTAGCCGCCGTGGATCGCTAGGTACATGTACAGGGTGACTTGGAAGTATCGGACTGAAGAAAAATTGCTGTAGACGCTGACATCCATCAGTGACAAGACAATGGTTGCCGTTCAAACATATTAAACAGTTAACTGTGTTTGACGTCATCGTAGAACTTGACGTGATACTAATTCTTTCAGCGATGAATTCTTTAGTTCTTCACAGAAACATGTAATTCTCCTTTGTCTCGCTTTGATCTTTCCATTCTTTTATTTTATTGCGCGCAGAACCAGAGGTTCTTCCGACTAGATTCCACAGTTAACTGGTTAATCCTTCGCGGATGTCGGCATTTCGAGATGGAATGTTTAAATTTGGATACGTCGTGGACGAATGATCTGATTAGTCGAACAGCGAGAGAGCACGTAGTTTTTTTTTTCTATTAATTAAGCAATTGATGTATAATTCAGCTTCATATGTTGAAGGTGTTGTCTCGAGTCGTCCGCGAAGGGTTAAACGAAATTGTTTCATTTGCTACGCTTTGAGTAAATATCCTCTAAAATATGACAATTTTGTGGAATATATTGTTATATCAACAGCGACAAAGATGTACGACAATACTGAAAAATAGGATCTTATAAGATTTCGACAGAACAATTTCATTTTCTTCGCGTCAAGCAGCGTTCTCTTGCTCATTGTCTTCTCGTAATATCTCCCGTACGTGGAATACATCTCAAAATGTTTAAAAGCACCGTTGCAAGAACCGTTGAGATTTATAATTGCGAAAGGTTGCACAGCTGATGGCTGAATCACGGAATTTCATCGTTATAATTACAGAGCACACCTCGTAAGCTTCGGGCAGCAGCGGCCGTAAAGCGTGCTTTCATTAAACGGTGTCGATACACATCGCGCCGGATCGTACGTACAATGGACGCGAAACAAACAGGCACGATGCGTAAACGAGACGTCTCTCGTCTGCGCGCGCGGCTTTTTATCGCGGCGGCGAATTCCCGTTTGATTTAATTATCAGCGCTTTGTCGAGCATCGGGGGCTCGCGCGCCGCCGATCTAGTCAATTTTTAATAAACCCTCGGTCAATTGCGAAGCTCCGAATATTTCATACGGCCGTCCCGATGCTCGAAACTTCTGATAACAATTCCTTCCTTCTCTCGACTTGTTGCTTCGACGAATTACCGCGCGATCGAAATACTACCGATTCGGAAGAACAACGATCGAGAATCTAGGAATACGCGAAGCGACCGCAATTCGAAAAAAGCGTAACAGGTGTCCCTCCGACGGGGAATTCTTCGGATATGTTCACCGAATGTTCATTTCGAAAATATACACCATCGTTTCGTTTAACAGAGTCCATAGAATCATTCTAGGCAAAGATCATTCGAACACCTCTCGCAGTTCGATCGCGAACGATTTTTAAACGCGGAAATTCTCTTAGATCCTCGGGAGAATATTCCACGGCGAATACAAGTTAAATCTCGCAAATACGGCGAGTTCTCCGTTAATCGTGTTCATTTCTCACGATCTACATACTCCGGAATCTCGGTTATTCGGAAATCCGATCATCCGAACCCTTAGATTACAGCCCGGCATAATGCAATCGAATTTCGCGAACGCGCTCCGAGGAACTTCTCGAGTCCCCATCCATCCGAACCGTTACTCGGCCAATTAAATCGGATAATCGAGGTTCAACAGTGCCATCAACAACTTCGAACAATGTCTTCCACAATCTCGACGCGCCGAACCCACTTATCCGCGAATTATCCCCAATAATCCAGTTTCCGCAGTCGAACGTTAGAATTTCTGCTCGGCCGTTCGCCCGCCGCCAAGCGACGGTTTGCGCCGTTAGCCGATTCGACATACGCGCGCCATCTTGTCGGGAACTGTAACCGGAGCGCGTACGAACGAAAAAGCTACACAAAGTTACACCATATCCATCGTTACCATCAAGATTTCAACATCCTTCGCAACGTTCACCGAAACATCGAAGACAACTCGCGAACGTTCTGTAGTTTATCACAAAAAACGGGAAGATACATTTTATATATTATCACATATCCCGAGCCATTTTCATTCCGCGATAAAAAACAATTTCACCGATAAGGACCAATCGTCCAGTTCCCCGTATGATGCAAATGGGTTAACCGGCGCCAAGCCTCCAATTTTTCCCCGATCGAGCCATCATCCGGCAGTAAAAACCGGCCGTTCGGCGAAAGGGAGGAATTCCGGGTGATCGCCGCCATTCCGCGCGAGCCGCGCCGATAAAGTTCCCCATTATCGGTGCCCGCCGCCGCGATACAGCCCGTTTCCTTCTTCCATCGATAACGCGACATTTACGGCGGCCATCGGGAGGAAGCGAGACAGCCGGAGAGGCCGCGAGAACGACGGGGGATTGCAGCGTCGTTTCGCGTGCCACCCCCGCCGACCGTCGCGGATGAAAAGACCCTTTTGTCTATGCGACGCGGCTCTTTCTCGTCTTTCGGACTCGCTTCCTCTCTCCCGCCCTCTCTCTCTTTCTCCCCGGGGCCGCGGACACACAATTGGAATATCATCAGCGGCGCTTCATTGTCGGCTAAGATTATTTGCCGCTCTTAGAAATTTATTTGGGCCAGGATCGCGCGCTTCCGGTGCGGTCCTGCGGCCCGGAGATAGAGCCTTTCTTCTCCGGGCAGACCGTTTTCAACGGAGCACGCCGAAAAAGGCCGTTCCCAGCGTCGTCTCTGTTCTTTCCATTAGCGCTCATTCTGTACTGTTATCAGCGGATTCTAGATTTTTCGCTCGGTCGAGAGTTTTCTCCTTTGATCGGGACAGTTCGGAGGTTCTACGGTTGCTGATGGACTGTCGAGCAGCGATTATTTTGGAAACACTTAGGCAATCGTCTAGAAAGAATTGTACCCCTTCTGTTATCTTCAATTGAACTCACTGATTTGGGTAGAAACTATGCTTTGTAAAAGCGAGAACTGTATTTGATAAGTAATCCCGCTTCGAGACTTAGAAACAATAAAAGATGAACACAGTGAAAGGTAATACGTTGTTTATTAAAAAACTGGGAGACTTCCACGTTTGGTTGGCTAAGTGTTAACACTAGAACTACCGAGCAGTCAAGCTGACTTTACAAAATTCTATGGAAATCCCAAGAGCGCATCTATCGAGACTTCCATCACTCAGAACTTAGTTTGCGTATTACTGAAATAATTTCTTTAGAAATTTCCTAGAGAAGGATCTATCTTTTTCCGGTAATTAACAGGAGAATTTAGGAATGGGTCATTCTGATCTGGTAGTTCTAGTATTAAAGAAGTCGGTATTGTACACGTTTATGATGACTCGATTGTTTAATATCGAGGAAAGTTTAACGTTTGAAGCTTGTATTTCAGAGTGTCCGTTTAAAGTACAGCTGCGAGATGGTACTCGGGATGTAACAACGATCGAAGGAAGTCCGATCGCCGATCGTTGAACGTTTGAGATCGATTCTACGGAGCGGAGTCTATATTACTCGCGAAACAAATGTACGAAATCAGTAGATTTCATTGGAAACCGATACCGCGAACGGTTTTTCCACGTTAAAATTTCCGGGCGGATCGTGTTCTTACTTCCAACCAGAACAAGACCCGGAGTTTCGGCCGCGTTCGTGACTTACTATTGATTGCAGTGCATAAAGGCTGGGTATATGCGGCGGGCACACGAGGAGGTGGGCCCCGGTAATTAATGAAAATCGGGGGAACGGAACGCGAAGTATCTCGAGGATCAATTTAATCTAGATTCAGCGGGCTACACGGATTCTTAATTAAGCTTGATATCCGTTACCTCGTTCTTTGGTGCCGCGAACGGTCCGCACGAGGATCTCCTTGTCGTCCTCCTCCCAGAGATCGGATTCTGCCTTGGCGGTGGCGAGGATCATCAACAAGATGACACCCAGCAGCGTCAAACTCCACCACAGCTTCATTCTGCGGGAAAACCGAGCGACAAAGACGCCGCGTTAATTCGCTGTACCCTTAATTAGCGTCGTCTGGCTAGCACCTCTAACGATTTCGTACTGCACTCGCGAAATTGTGAGAGGCTACTCGAGTTATGTTACTTTCGAGTACAGTGCAGATCGATCTCTCTTCATTCGTCGGTTTCGTTGACCGACGTTATGAGAGGATCGTGTTCATAACATTCTCGAATAGCCTATCGCGTTATCGTCGAGGCAATAAAACACATTAACGTCTCTTTATTCGCAAGTACGTCCGAGGTACTTTATCAAACGTAGCGCGCGTTATATCCGAAAATTGATGACACCGCGGGATAAAATGAAATCGCGCGCGTTTCCGTTTCGAAATAAACGAGAAACGATATCGAACTTCATAAATCTACGCTGTTTATCGCCTTTCCCGTGCTCGCGTGCGCGACAAACGCGTCAAACCCGCGGTCTAATTGGCGTACACGCTACGCGTCGAAGAATTCGGGCCGACATATTGGCGACAATATGGCCGCCCGAAGTGGGCCGCCATGACACCGGCCGAATTCCTCGCCCGTCCGCCTCGGAGTTTCGCGTTTGAATATCCCCGTTTCGTTCGATCCGCTTGAAAAATCGAACGGCGAATCTCGAAATCGTTAACGGCAGGCCGACACTCAATCCGTCGGAACGTTCACACGTTGAAAACTCCCGCTCCGGCAATTACAGCACTCGAAACGCGAGTAACCTGTTTTCCGTGAAATCGAAGTTTAAATATAATGCTCCCGGAAAATTCGTATAAAAATTGCGGGGCCCGTTTCCCCCGCATTTTTTTCTGCTTGTTGTTCCAGTTATCAAATAAACGAACAAATATAAACTCAAAGGGATATTCCGCGAGTGTTTACCGGCGTTTATAGCGGCGGCCGCCCGTTGACTGCGCGTACGAAAATTTACTGCGGTAAAGTTCGTTCTGGTTGTTAGTGTCCCGCGGGATTCGCCCGGGGAAAACTAATATTTTTGCAGTTAGATAAATAATCCTCGCAGGTATTTTCCTCGCCGGGGCAAACTGGGTCGCAGTTTTTCCCCGCGTAAACTCCGATCGCATCGATCGCGCGCCAGTAACCCTCGCCGTGTTCTCGTCGTCCGGCGAGCGAGCTCTTTCCTCGAATTATAATCTCGCGATATTTCGTTTAATTCCGATCGTTACACCAGCGATCCAGGTTCCCGCTGTTCCGGCAGCGCTACTCCAACGACGTCCGGACTCGACGTCTGAACCAGAGCTCAACCGCAACCGCGACTGCATAAATAACGATGGCCGCGACCGATATCCGAATTAGATTGTTTATTTATTCCTCGTCGCGAGATGTTCTGGGACTAATAATCTTGTTGAGAGTTCTCGACCGGCGTTTCACGTTGTTAACTGATCGAAACGTCCGATAATTCAATGAATAAGAAGAAATACGACGGCGTTTAGCCTGATAAAATAAATCTTCGTTAGCCTTCTGGCCTGGTTAAACATTATTTGGTAAATGTTTCAATCGGTTTTCGTTGATCCAATTACACGAATATCCTGATTGTCTATTTCTACATCTACAATTTCCAAAATCTAAATGAACGAATATCAACTTCAGGAACAATAGAATAAACTGTACAGTAAATGCCCGTAAACCTAGTATTAAGTTATAATTATAAGAATTCAACAATAGAAGAATGCGACGTGACAAATGTAAGAAATGTGGTCGATTATAACGTCTCGTTCCGTTTTATTGAACGTGTTCCTTCGATTTTCCGAGATTTCTGCTAGCTTAACGCGTTGAAACGCATTTTCCTCTATAAACTCTCTCCTCTGTAAATGTATCATTTTTCCGAGTACACGTATGCAACGGTGGTTTTGAAAGGGTTAAACAGAGCTTCCGAGCGAAAGGGTTTCGACGGTGGCCAACGAGAATTGATCATCCCCCGTGCGGAATATTAAATATCAGGAGCGCGCGAATGCAGATGCGCGCGCTCTCGCGTGTGTACGACGTGGCTAAATCGACATGTTAATTAATAGGGAAGTGCGGGGGCGAGAAAATTATACCGTAAGCAATTCGCCCTAGCCGGCATGGGAGGAAACCGTTCGTTTGTCTCTTACGTTTGCCCGGCAATTACTGGAATCTTTTCCATTTGCGTCAAGCGATTTCGACAATCAATGCCAATGGAACAATGATACGTTTATCTCATTACGCGGTGCCACTTTGTGGTGTAATCGATCGGGACTCGTTCAGACAATAAACGACCGAATAACAATCATCGCGCGCGGCACCGTGAAAAATTCGAATCGACGCCATTATAACGTCCCCCTTCGATCGAACGTTCTCATCGACTCGCTCGGAGGTCGTTGATGTTTTATAGCGTTATACATAACCGACATTGAAATACAAATATTTTATATTTCGATTCCCATGCGAATTCAAAGGAAAATGCAGCGATCGAGGACACAAAATTACGAAAAATCGGTTTCTCTGAAAAATAACATAGGGAGCATTATACTGAGAATATTTCGAACATTTCCCCATGCGACATCTCCCATGAGTGCGCGAAGATTCCTAATATTGCAAAGAGAATGTTTAAACAGAGTTCCGTATCGAGTAATATTTACTGCGAAGGGGAATATACCGAAGCATCTATCAATTTCGATGAAACTTTGATGAAAGCTAGTTCCCTGAAAAATATTTGACACATGTTTTTTCGTCGGTTGTTATTCATGGCGAGGGACTGGGAACAGCTGTCAGTCGCGAGAAACGAGGCGAGAGACGTGCTCGCCGAAATATCTTCGAAACTAGTGGAAATAGGAGAATATTGCAAAGCAAAAAGTTGCTTAGCTCCTCGTAACGAGGTTTTCCTAGTACGGAAGAGTTTAGAGATTTTAATTCTTACTTTGTAATGAGTCGAAATTAGTTCTTGGCAATATAATTTCTTTGGTAACGGAGAATATAGAAATTATTTGTACAAGAGAAGTTAATGCTGTTGGATTTATGTAGATTTAACCCTTTGCACTCGAGAGGCGATTCTCAGTCACTTGATTTGATTCGCAAAATTATAAAATCTCATATACAATATTAAGCTTTGATGCATCAATACATGGAATATTTAAATAAACTAACTTTCCTTTTTAACCCTCTATGGGCCAAATTAACAATGTATTCAATAGTTTCAATAATTTTATCGAAACGAATATATTCTGTAATTTTGAAATTACAGTGACGTTGAACGTAAACGCCTGTGTACATAGTTTAAGTTGATTAATTATTTAACGTCGTTTGTCATTTTGCGATAGAAAATTAAATACGTCAATTTAACTCGGTATATTGATGTTAGACTTCAAAGTCACACGAGCCTATAGAGGGTTAATTTATATGTTTTCTCGTTAATTACTTTCAAAGAACATAGTCCGTGTCTCCTCGGAGAATATCGAATATTTCTAGCGACAAACTTTCGAGTGCAAAGGGTTAATTAACGCGTCCGACCATTATTCGGCTTGTCCACTAATAATCACGGATACAACAGAAAAGCTTTCATCGGTTTCACCGTGAATTTGTTCGCATTCCTGGGGCTCGCCGAAATACTTTCGCAAGCGACCGTATATAAAATAGTTGCGCGTGTCCGCTGCGTTAACGTTGCTCGCGCAATTCCTCTTGAACCCGGCTGAACCGCTTTCCAGACCGAACTATGCGAAACATAATATGCTTACGTGAGAACCATCGAAAAATCGAGTTCACGGGCCGCGGTGAATACGTGGAAAATAAGTTCCGCCGTTCCCCCTCCCGCGGGGGTTTCAGCAATCCATCATGGCGGCCGGAAGTCTAAACTCGCCGCGCGACTTCTGCGTTCGATCAAACGCGTTCCCTCTCGCCGACTTAATTAAAACTCCCCGCCACGCTCGCCGTTGGCGAACAATATAGCAAGAACGCGGTAAAAACGAAAGAAAACACCGGGAACAATGAATCCTTCAATTAGCGTGTCCGCCGATTTAATGAATCACAACTGCAACCGGCAGCAGTTTCGACGAGATCCCACGAATTTCTTCGTTTCTAATAATCACCGTATTAACCGTCCGCGCGCGGAGTTTCTATGAATATTCATTGTTCCCCGGTAAAATGTAAACGACGTCATTTGCAACCGAAACAAATACCGATTATACATAAATTAAAGAAGACATTTGTCTCGCGATATCTCGCTCGTCTACCGACGCATTGTACGAAGTTTAATATCGAGCATTAATTCTCGCAACTTTCTACACGGTCCCGCTAATTGCGAGTGGGAATCGCCCGGCGAGCGCGGAGGTTTAATTCGTGAAAAAATGGAGGAACGAGAGCGGGCGATAATTTTTAAACAACTGCGAGGACAAACGAGGAACGTGATTGTCCGTGACAGTTGGATGATATTCCTCGTAAAAATCAGCCGCGAAAGGGGCGGGCTTCCAGTATAATTGAATTTCTCCCGGCAATTTAATCAAACGCTATTTCTCACTTCATTTCTGTATAACTGAAGCTCGCCGGGAATAATATGGATCTGCCAACAGTTACCGCGGCCGTGTC